CATCATCATCACTTTGCCACAATACATAATGACGCCTCTTCACAACTCGGACTCAGATGACGACCCTGACTACGTGCCTCCAGCAGATGGTACCCTGCAACTCCTACTCGCGCTATAAGACAGTCTCATTCCAATTTCTCGCCAGAGGCTGAGAGCTCAGAAGACGGAAACGAAAACAAAGACATAGGCCAAAAGCCACCCGTCGACGAGGAGCGTCAGAAGAAGTAAGCTACATATCCCCGTGGCTGAGGAGTTGACGAGGCCTAACCGTAGTAGAGAGCGCAGCGCGCTGTGGGCTAATTTCCAAGCATCCGTCTCTACCCCCACACCGCCACCAAAAGAGCAGGAATCCCCTGTAGAGCTAGTGAAAATCGAAAAGCGATACCTGTTCGCAGGGAAACATGTAACGTGGGTAGTGGCAGTGTCTACGTATACCATCCGATGGGATTGTAACTGATGTGTGTTTAGAGAAGTCGTCGAGGTTCCTGCAGATTCGGAGGATGCAAAGAAGTGGCCGCTGTGGCGACCACGCGGGTCCGACTCCGCGGGCGAACGGGCAGAAGAGGGAAGACCTCCATCTGCCACGCCGGACCCTACTTCGGGGCCAACTTCCAGAGCACGACCCGGTCCTCGGAAACCTCGCACGACACTCCCAGCCCTCCCTACGCCAGGTTCATCTAAAGCTAAAAAAATCACCACACTGGACAAGTCAGCAATGGACTGGCGGGCTCACGTTACTTCCCAGCCGAGTGACGTCCAAGACGAGCTCACCGCAAACAAACGTGGAGGTGGTTATCTGGACAAGGTCGATTTTCTGCAGAGGGTCCAGGATAGGAGGCAAGATGTACTGGAAGGCTCCAAATCGAACAAACGAAGGAAGACATAGCTATGAATGTTACCCTGCTTGAGACACAGGCAAATGGTGTATGTTATGACCCGTTGACTTTCAGGGTTCCAGCGTTTTTCCCGTACAGAGCGTGCCCAAGTATTGAATCCACTGGTGGACGTGCCAAACCCCCCTGAATGAATCGCATTCTACCGCAACGCTTGTACGAACTGGTGCGTGATCTGATGTAACCGTTTTAGAGGGAGATCTGCGTGGCGCTTTGCGGGCAAGCCGCTGTCCGACTACATTCTGCACGCCAGTTTGGCCACGACGACTTGCACAGGACCGGTCACAAACCTCAAGCGTGGCCACCTTGTGCAAGGCAAAATTGCATATGTATGACCATTATAGAAACCACGTGGCCCCTAGTTTGCACCAAGTTCAGCTGTCTAGCCAATGTCGTGGCAAAGACACAAGCCAAGTCTGCAGCGTGGACCAGACGCTTTCTGCCACGAATGAGTAGCAGATCGCGGTGATCCTATGCTGTCATCTGAAATAGAATGTAAGGCCAAGTGGCGTCTATCAGGTGTGTCGACGTACGGTTCGTTCAAAGTTTAGAGTGTAGCTAAAAAGGATTGGCCGTTGACGCAGGTTCGCATTTTCAAATACCAGTCCACTACGTAGCGCGTTCTCATCGGTCGACTCGGCGAACTCGCTTCAGATAAATACGCGTATGTTTGACTTGCGGACGATCAGACACCTACACCTATATCAGGTCTCTAATGAAGTTATCACTTATCTTCGCCTTAGCAGCTGCGGCGGTTTCAGTTGTTGCTGTGCCAGCCACCAAACGTTTGTCTTTGCGATCGATCCCTGCTTAACGCCCGGCAAAAGCTAACTGCCTCCTTTGCCAGCTACCGCACATACCCACAAACGTGTGTGCTGTAAAAACCTCGGCGTTGCCTCCGATCCCGTTATTCAGCACTTGATGGAGGAGTACGGCATTGGTGGTGCAGCCAACGACGACGTTCTTGGGTTCGGGTGCCGCAAGCTCAGGAAGGGGGGCACATGGTCAGTCCTCCTTTTGGGGGGCAGACACGCGGATATCTACCTTTCTTACCCTTCGTGACAGTTCGTCGTCCACGAAACTGGGATATTGCGATTTGGATTCTTATGTTAAACCTCACATTTACACGTCGTGCGAGATGCTGTGGTAAGTGTGTTGTTGCTCCTAGCGTTTAATCCTTTAACAATGAGCCATGCTCAATCACGGACCTGGTTTCATGCAAGAGTAGACTAGCTGGGGGATCTCCCCCTTCGGATGGATTCACCAGATGGTCGTGATGGCATCCTGACATGTATTGGTTATGACCGACTGCCTGTACAGCTTAACCATGTACTACATAGGTAATGGTATAGAAGTATAAAATACATAAAAATATATCATTCAAAGTCCGTTGTTGTAGGTATCACAGTTCGCGGATCACAAGACGTCCAGAACTACCGTCTGTAAAATCTGCAAAGAGCCAGTTCAGAACTGCGGCGAGTCTGATACCGCCCTGTGCCAACAACTTCTCTACGATCCACTCGTCTCTAATACGCCCGGAGTACTGGGGGGTATCGAGTTCAAGGTAAGAATTCTTCCGTCGCGCAGGTGACTCGGGGTTGTCCAAGTCGACGAAAAATGTTTCTTCACTGAAGTGATCGCTACGATCGACGTCAGTATATGAAATACGGTTGTACGGAGGCTGATCGAGTTCCACCGGCCAAACAATTTCACAGTTGAGAGAGTGGACAGGCTGTGCCCAATGGTAAGGGCACAGAAATTCGTCATCTACGTTGAGTCCGCCGTCCTTGGATTTGCTGCCAAACAGCCAAAGTAAGACACGCTGCCACTTGGGCAATGGCAAGACGCGGAGCCTTTCCGGAGCGGGACATGTCAGCCAGGAAGAGAGTTCATCTTCGTATTTCCCGAGAATTCCTTCCCAGATGAGACGTCGTATATAAGGGTCGTAAATGGTGTCTCGGAGATTATCTTCTACATCGGGCAATGGGAGAGGACGCGTGTAGTTCATGGGAAGGGTGCGAAGCCGCTGTGCAATAAGGAGAGAGTCCCATAGGGAATGGAGATCTAATGGGGAGTAGACTATGAGGACAGAGTGTGGGAAGAAAAAATACAATGTCCTACTTGTAACACGCCCGTCGAAGGAGACCTTATCGCCGTTGCCACCCCGGTCGCGACCAGTGAGATGAAGTGGCTGGTGCATGTCGCCCAAGAAGTGGATAAGGAACTTAAGCGCGTCTTGCACGTACCCATCGACGTATGCAACCGTGGCGCCACCTTGATAATCCTGAAGGACCGTGGTGACGTTGCGTATACCGCTGAGTACGTTGATGTGGGTCCGGCCTTCCCAGCCACCCGAGCCAGGAAATGCGCACAAGCTGGAAGGGTAGTCGTCTGTGGCACCAATGTAATGGAGCGGGCCTGTCCACCGGTACTTTGCTTCCTGCCGTGCCTGGTCTGCCCAGGTAGCGACAGTGGCAAGGTGACAAGAACCGCCGTAGTCAGACATGTCGTTCTCAAGAATTGCGCATAACTTTGGGAGGACAGAGGGGTGAAGGTGCATTTGCGCGATGGTAGCGACTACTTCGTGACCTAGAGGGCATTCGTCAGGGACTCACTCAGGAGTGTGCGAGAAGGTAAGACGACGAACCAACGGCGCCCCATGAGAGCGCTGGAGGAATCAAGGTTGCGACAGTAAACACCAATAAAGCTGCGAGCTGCATGTTGGTGGTTTGAGTTCTCCCGTGGGTGTGTCGCAGGGATAGGTTTTATTGTGGTCCCCCCCTGGAAGAACCCGAATTAGTGCGGTCGAGTTGTCGAGCACCGTATGAACACAGCCACAGAGATATGGCATTCCATTTTCACTTTGACGATTCAGATGGGCAGACGGACACGCCGATGGCTTGGGAAACCGAGACAGCACACAAACCGTTCTCAGAGTTGTCCCTTGACAGGATGGTACGCTCATAGACCCACTGCACCCTAGCGTAATTCCAATGGCCAGTGTTCAGCTGGAAACCTTACCCTCAAAAATATCACATTCACCTCTCACAGTACCATTATCGGACGGATCCACCCTGGCCATCTCACGTCGTGATCTATTCGACGCACGTTTCCAGTTAATCTCTCAGGGTGCAGGGGAGGTAGAAAGCGCCGAGTCAGCTGAGGTCGTGTCGGCCCTACAGTTCTTGGACAATCCATCAGACCTTGTACCCCTCGTCTATGAAGGTGGTCTTAAGACATGGGAATGCAGTCTGGACCTCGCCGCCTACCTTAGTGGTATCGACTTTGGTACTAAGAGTACGAAGACAAGGATATTGGAAGTATGGCCGCTTATCGATACCTGACTCGCCATTCAAGTTGCTGAACACGGAATGTAGTTAGGCTGTGGGACGGCTATCCCAACGTTATGTATCTTTCATGATATCTTCTCCTCTCCTCCTATCGGGGAACGCGAGATTCACGTCCATTTGCAAGATTATAACGCGTCGGTTCTCCAGCTCATCACGGTGCCAAACATCGTCCTTACTTGGTGTGGGTACATTTATTCTTTCCGCGGTTGGAATGATTTCGACCCCCAACTATAGATCATTCGTCTGCTGCTGAGACGTCTCGAAATAGTGAATTAGAGGATCACGTGGAGTCCACATTAAACATCACGCTCCAACTCTTGGATGATTTCAAGAAATCCCTGGAAGCGTACCGGATTCACATACGCCTGTTCTCCGGCTCCTGGGAGAACTTTGATCTCGGAATTACCGGGGGAAACTACGACTTGGTCCTAACGTCCGAGACGATTTATCGCCTGGATAGCCTACCCAGTCTTGTCCACCTGATGCGCCGTGCCTGTCTCTCGGAGGACCATTCAGCACAATACCTCTGCCTGGTAGCCGCCAAGGCTGTATACTTCGGCGTCGGGGGTGGAGTGGCAGAGTTTACACGATGTGTAGAAGCAACGGATCAGGAAGCGCGAGTGGAAACAGTAGTGGAGAAAAAGTCTGGTGTGATTAGAAAAGTGATGAGCATACAATGGTTGTAGCGCAGAGTATACGGAAGCCTGATGCTCACTCGAACCCCCCGCCGAGCGCAAAAAAGAAATATCGAAAAAAGTGGACAAATCCGGAATTGAACCGGACACCCCCCGCAAGCAGCTCGATGCTAAGCGGATGTGATAACCAACTACACCATTTGCCCGATGGCAAGAAGTTTCTTAAGAGGCATATAAGCAATCAAAAACTTGGAACATTACACTAGAACAGCAAACACAAACACCGACTTCTGTAAGGACTACGAAACACTAGAAACAAGATACTCGACGTCAAAGATTGCAGCCTTGGGCGCGTCGATAGATTCACGAATGACCTAGCAACCGTCAACTTTATTTCCAATAAGTGATAGCATAATACGTGATCAGAAAAGCCGGTATTTTCATGTTCCTCGCGGAACAACCCATGGAGAAGTCGACGTAACCCCCTCAAAACGAGGCGGAAACGTCGGAGTTCTCACAGCAGTAAGAACCGACCCTGCCACAGGTGCAACACACGAGTAAACTCAAAGAATGGATGAACTTGTAGTTTCATCGCCATGGGAAGTAAAAATGGACAGCGCCGTGAGAGACTTACCACTTGGTACGAATTTGCTATTGCTGGTCTCTATTAGAGATCCTGCGAACAAGTAACGGTTAGTACATGTCTACGAAGTGAGATGGAAAGATCAGAAAAAAGTTTGGTATAGAGTTGTCCACAAGAGATAGTCTCTCTTTCGGAAGCAGAACTGATTGAAGAATTCATCACGTTTGGTAGAAGGCGAGGCCCACACCGCAAGACTAGAAAAAAGAGACTCACCAGTGAAGGTAGGCGGAATAATCTTTCATTTCTAAGACACGCTGCTCATATACAATTTGGTTCAAACCCCGCCCAAGCTGAGTTTAAAAGAGAAAAAACCAAACTATTAAAAGGCCCGCTTCACCCGATCTTGATGCACGAACTTGCTACGAGGTGAGTATTTTATGGCTCTGTTCAGCCTTTCTGTGATGATACTTTCCCGAACGAGTTGGTGATGGTTTCCAATGATCCCTTACTCGTAACATGCATCACCAACTGATATTCTGTGATCGTTGCGTTTCCACCGTCAGTTGACCAATACTCTTGTAGGTCGTGAACAAGATGCACATACCGGCCCGCGGTCTGCGACTCGACGTGAGTGCTATCTTCTGCTCTTTCCTCAAGGATGTCTATATACAAGCATATGTCCGATTTTCATGAAGGACGCGTTTTTCTACCTGAGGCTGTTTTTCCTTGTGGATCAAACAATGTTACTCATTTGTTACTAGGGATGATGGCAATCGCGAGGACCCTCGTACGCAGTTGGCGAACCTGGTAATGACAGCCTGGAGGTGATACTGCTTGTTGCTTCTACGCAATGTACAGTCGATCGTAATTTCACCCAATGTAATTACATTATCACACTTTCGCACCTGTGACATGACAATAGTGATCTCGGAGTATTACACTGTAAGGGTATGCTCGGAGGTAGACGTATGTCGATGGTTAAGTCCCATCGTTTCTAATCCCATACTGGTTCGGAAGCTCGGGGTCCTTCCCATCCAGTGCCTCTTGGATCATGGAAATCGTGCTTTCCAAGCTCCTCCTTCTCGTCGACGGACTCGTCATTGTCGTACCGAGACTCGCCTGGCGGCCATGCCTGCCGCGGAATGGCGTACGGGACGGTGATATTTGCGAACCTGGTGAGGGCGGACCAGTAAGGCTAGACAGACTTGTCGATGAAGGTAAGGAAGTAGATGACTGGGATGGGTCGATTGTCCTCCCGGTGTTCTCTTCGGCCACCTCAGAGACGGACATGCTTTGTGCGTGTGCAAGGTATGCCTTGGCTTCCTCAGCGTCAAACAAATCGGGTGGTAGCCGTTCGTTTTCAATGTCAGATTTCCGTCTTTAGGTACATCAGCCTAAGACAAGCTCTTGGGCGCGAGATAACGTACGCATCCTCGAATCCAGTGATGGCTTCTTTGATGCCTTCTGTACCCAATGCAAGGGTCCCATAGGGCAATTTTCCTGAGGCAGAAATACTCTTCAACTCGGAAACCTTTTCAGATTCCTCGCTATTCGCGTTTTTTTTTTCTATTAACCAGCGGTCAATAACGTCCAGGGAAAGAAACCCACCGCAGCAGTGCGAATACTCGTGCCATACGTCCAACAGCAAGGATCTTATTCTTGATGACTTTCCTGCGCTCGACGGTGTCGTCCACTTGAGCCACGGGTGACGGGACACTTTCTTCATCGGATTCTTCGAGTTCTTCCTTGGTACAGGTGTTCAAGACGGCAACCAGCATGTCCGTGACTGATAGAATTCTTTAATACGTGGCCCACAAAAGGCCGTTTGTCACGTACTTTTTTCGCCTACAAAGGGCAAGCTCCATGTAAAGACGTCCATGAAATTTGGTAGCCAGTAAGGATGTGGCGTGCAGTTGAACTGACGAATATTCATGACGTTGCTCTCGTACTTCAACACAGCTGCCTTGTTGTTATACACATCGAGGTAATTTGGGGCAGAGAAAATCGTTATGACCGAAGGGAAACCAGTGGTTTTGGTCTTGCGGTACATGCGATACCTAGGCAAAGTTATGAGCGACGATTGCCAAATGGTATGTGGCACGAACCCTGCATCCTGAGCCTCGTGAGCACGGATGATGGACAACAAGTTATTGCGCTCCAAAAATTGACATGCAGCTTGATATCTATATGCCACGTGAACTTAGTACCAGTTATCTCCAGGCGAACAATGGTTGCCCACGTGAAGAAATAAGAACAACCCCTGACGTGGTTGTGGAGGAAGCTTTCATTTGTCTTCTCTTGTCCAAAGTCCTCAACCGGATCCGACCATAAGATGTCACACATAAGCCCATTAGTAGGTGGCTCGCGGAAACGGTCAATCTGGGAAACATGAACATGCAAATAGCAGCATCGCGAAGCACCCATACCGCTCGTATGTCGTCAAGGGTGGTTAATTCAGGAGAGAGGCCTCCGTGTATGCACAGAAACTGCTTATTCATGATAGCAGCAAGAGGCAGGGCGCAAAAAGACTCCATGCAAGCTTCATAGACGCGTTCGCTGTACTTATGTTTGCCTGTTGACATCACCGTGTGAATCCGTGATTGAAGACAAGGCAAATAAACAAAGCATCGTACATTCGAGCTTGAAGGTAAAGTAATCAGTCAAATGCCGACACTCGTGGTTGCCGCGAAGGAGGAAGAGGGTATCAGGGTACCATATTTTTAGTGACCAGAGGTACAGGACACACTGAGACAAAGTCAATTCAAAACAGAGAGATCGACGAGCGGAGACTCACCTCGATGCTGAAGTACCCTCGGTCGACGTAGTCCCCTAGGAAAAGATATCTTGTATCGGCAGGAGTGCCACCGACTTCGAATAATTTCATGAGATCATACTACGCAGCAGTATGGTCAGCATACCAGGAAAAGGAAAGGCTCATACGTACATATTGTCCGTGGACATCACCACAGACTGTATCATATGGGTGTGGTTAGCCCAACCACGTCACACCCACCCGTGCTACTGACCTGTGATTGGGGCATCTACGTGCAATACGTTTGGTTCAGTGCGTAATAGTGCCGTCGCCTTCTCAATGATCCACAGCGCCTGATCTTCGCTTACACGACCCTCCCGGTAGAAATGGTTTTTGAGAAACGCAATATCCGGCTTGTTGGAATCTTGTCGCGAAAAGAACTGGGCATTGGTCGGCGTCAGCATCGCCGGAGCTTGGACCTGGTTGACTGTCTTAGCCATCATATAAGTTATGAGGATAAAGAACATAGGCATACATCTTTGACGACACGTTCTTGGGTACTGACTACGCTTCCGTCTTCCAGGACGTGCTGGGAAAAGTCGATAGTTGAGGGCCGTCTCCTGTGCTGAATCTGCTCGATCGCCCTGTCGACTCGAGCTTGGGAGATATGCACCATGATCTGCAACAAGAAATGTGAAGGCGGGATCTGAACAGCGACGACCAGAACACGCGGGATGAGAGTGATGGATAAAGATGAGCTAAAGACTTTTTTGGTGTGTAATTTGGCGAGAGACGACCCGAGGTTGGATTCCGATGGGCCAGCGTCCAAAGATAGCAAGTAGCGCACAGCAGTGCAGTAAACGGTGCAGAATTTCTATGGACAGTAGTGTACAACGGTGTCGTACTACGATGTAAAATATGCTCGCAAAACGTGACTCGCGACGTTGAAGCCGAGGAGGGACACCACATAGCTCGTAAACAGTGGTAGTAGCGGCGAGAGCAGAATCTCAGCACGTATCAAGAACGGTAGGGCTGGTTAGAACATCCATTACCAGTGAAGGTGCGACAGGTGCGGAGTGCAACTCACCACTGAGTCCGAGATAAACACCGTAGACGTACTGGGCGAATCTGAAGGAAGTAGCAGAGATAGATAGGTATGAACGCGAATCACAAAACGCAGAACGTACCCAGCGAGATACAGAGTATTACCTACTAGTAGGCACACCCATCTGTCCCTTAGAATGACGGGCACCAGAAAAAGTTGTGCCACGTAAAGTGTCAGAAAGAGTGGAAAGAATGCGTTGGTATGCACGTCAAAGGTGTATGCCCACTCCACGGACGTATCCGTTGGGGATGAATGAGAAGTCGGGGACAAAAGTACTTTGTTTGCAAACAGCCTGGGAAGGCGACCAATCATAAACAGCGTCTTAGTCGGCGTGGGCCTCCTCACCGTATCAGGGTTGCCATTACTACACCAACGAGAAGAAAGTCCCGCAGGACCATGATAAAGCCTAGCTTTACGGCATCAAAGATGCTGTAGGAGTATACTGTGGACCAAGCCAGTGCAACGACTAGGGATCAAGGTCATAAACAATCTCGCAAGTCGTCTGCATACTCCTACCAAATAGACATCCAAAGAGGAGGACCAGTATTGCAGGGTCGTCCCGAGCCCAAGTATTCTTGGTCTCTGTAGAGGAAGTGCTGTTAATCTGAAACAGGTAGTTACGCTGTAACAATGCACACACGTTTGTGATAGTATACATTGCGATAGCTATGGCTCTGTCAATTGCAATAGTCGACCAGGCAGTCATTGACGACTTACACTCTCTTCGGTGCGAGGCATAGGTAAGACAACTGCCATAGGGCGAGCT